ACAGCAGTGGTAAACAGCTATAGTGCAGGATGTCAAAGAGAGAAGCACTCCGTGTCAGCTCCCAGAGGTAGAGTGTTCTCGAAGGTGATAAGATGATGGCTGAGGCCATAGGAGTGAAGATAGAGAGGGAAGAAAGTCACTGGAGTTGAAGTTGAGGCAACATGAGGTGAAAATGTTCGCTGGTCATCCACAGGTCATCTTAGTGTCCTCGGGACAGATACAAGACTTAACAAGCTGCTGAGGTACTCAGGAAGTGTGGCGAGGAGAGACTGGAGGCGAGATTTTTACACAGCTCTTAAGGGTTTGTGATATGAAGGTCTCCCAATAGTCTGTTCAGGTGAAATATGTCACTGTTCCTCTCAGGGGTCCTCAAGGACCTCCCCATTCTCCCAAGTGTACATGCGCGCGCGCGCACACACACACACACACACAGACACACATCTTGCTCCGACAAAAATGGGTCCTCCTCTCTGTTTTAAATACCGAAATTCCCCCCATAAGACTTATTTTACAAAGGTTTTTGTGAGAAAAAAAAAATGAATACCACTGATGAGGACCAGCCCTTCCTAACCCAACAACGAGCCCAAGACTGTCTAGTAAGTTGATGGATGTGGCCACGGCTGCATCCCACTACAGTACCATACGGTGTGCACTCTCCCTTAAGATGCCCCTAGGGCTACTGCTCATTGATGAGGCACCCTTGTTAGGGCTGATGAGTTGGGTGCTGTTGAGGTCCAGCAGAGCCTAGAACCCGGGGGGTGTGGGGGGTGGCGCAGTGGCCATAGCGGGGCCATGAAATTCCTGGACGCTTGTTTGGGACAGGGTGGAGAGGATGAGAAAGAGAAATGAGGATGGTGGGCTGGGGGAGGGCAGGTTCTGGTCAATTACAGCCTAGCTAGGGAGGCCAGCTTAGTAAGCAGGCAGTAAAGGTTGAGTTCCCTCTGCCTCTCCTATGCAGGACCTTAAATCATGGGGGAGTTTATGGGTCCTGTTTATGTAGAGACTGTTTTTATAAGCTATTCAGAACAGGGGTGGGAGGGTGAAATAGGGAGAGAAAAATTCCCTTTGAATTTCCATTGCTTTCAGAATCAGCAGTTTAATGAGTCATGCATTCTGAATCCTTGCTTTGTCTACACGTTTTCATTTCAAAATACTAAAAAACAATTTGTTTGGAACACGGACTATTTTTAGTTCATATATCAAGAGTGCACATCCATTTCTCCCCATATTAGAAAAGCTTCCTTCAGACCGGGTTGAGGCAGCACCATAGTGGTTGGGTTGTTTACTGAGCTGTACTTTGTGGAAGCCACCTGGACATCTCTCTGTTTCCTGGGGGCTCCTTTCAGCTGGCAATCTGGGCCTACTGATAATCCATGAGTCAGCTCTAGAACTGGCCCAAAGACCCCAGATCCCATCGTCTGGGTAAAAGGGGAAAAACATCCCCTCACCCCTCCAGGCTGAGGAATCAGCACCTTAGCAGGCTAGAGACAAGTCATGTCTTCATGCTGGATGCCCTTGCAAGACTCGAAGAAATGAAGTGGAAGTGAAGGATGTCCCCATGTATAGGCCATCTTCCTCAGGTATGTCAAGAGAAAGCCCACCCGCACCTTGGCAAAGACAGGGATAGATAGTCTGCAGAATTCTGCTGTGAGTCTCAGGTGGAGATTTGGGAGGAAGGCTGGGTGTACCCTACTTCTTCAGTCCCTGCCCTCTGCAAAGGGTCTCTCTCCATGCTGCACTTAGTGCTCCCAACCAGTTTTATTTACCTCACTGCTTTTGTTCCCTCAGTGATAATTCTCCCCCTGGAGATCACCTTCTTTTAAACATGCCAGCTTAGAGCATTAATTGCAAGTACCTTACCAGTACTTAGTGGATAGCCAGCCAACTTCAAGAATGGGGTACAAACCCAATGTTCATAGCAGCACTCTCAACAATAGCCAAAACATGGAAAGAGCCTAAGTGTCCATCAACGGACGAATGGATCAAGAAGATGTGGTTTATCTATACCATGGAATACTACATGGCAATGAGAAACAATGAAATCTGGCCATGTGTAGCAACATGGATGGAACTTGAGGGTGTCATGCTTAGCAAAATAAGTCAGGCAGAGGACAGATAACATATGTTTGCACGTATAGGAGGATTAGGAGGAACTTAACTGAAGAAGAAGGGGGGAAATGGTGGGGGAAAGGGAGAGAGGCAAACCATGAGAGACTCGAATGCTGACAGAAACTGAGGGCTGATGGATGTGGGGGGGAGGAGGGATGGGCATGGAGGAGGACACTTGTGGGGATGAGCACTGGGTGTTATGTGGAAACTAATTTGACAATAAACTATTTGTAAAATAAATAAATAAATAAAATAAAATGAGGGAAAAAAAGAATGGGGTACAAAATCCAATTTCTCAAGGAACTGGGGTGATGAGGTACCCACTTCCCTGGTCATTGCCTTCCTCTCCCATCTGTGTGTTTATAGTGGAAGAAACCATGTCCATGCCCTCTGACTCTCTTCCCCTGGATGCTGTTGATTTGATCAGGAGTGGACAACATTGAGCCTATTCCCGGGGAATTTGGAGTTGAGACCATGCTGATTCTCGGTTGAGGCTGGTTGCCAAATTGGCAGCTCTGCGACATGGATAATTTTCACATGGACAGAGAAACTGAGGACATATAAACAGGCAGAGAGAAGCAGCTTTCTTGGGTTTTCTATATCCCCCAGACCCTCGTTCCAGCCACCTCTGAGGCCTTGGAATCCATGAGGCAACCCCCACGCTCCTCACCTCTGCCTAAAGTCTTCCAAACATATTCCCCTTTTCATCTAGGGGAATGACCCTACCCCACTTCTGTTACTTGCAATCAAAATGGTACCAGGAAGGGAGAGAATGACCTGGGGCAGGAAGATGGGACACATTGAGGAGATGCCTCCCTACTTTATGATTTTGCCTACGTTGCCTGCCCCAGGCATAACCACGTGGGCCACCACATAACATGGCCCAATATTGTCCTCTCTGAAGGAGCTTCCCAGCTAAGGAAAAAAGGACAGAGAGACAATGTGCTCCTCGAGACATCGCTGCTGGGGACTGATGTCAGGACATGTTCCCGGTGGGCTGCACTCCCATCCCCTCCATGCCCAACCCTTGTGTTGAGACCCAGACAATCAAACCCCCCTCCCGTGGCCCCATCTCATCCTTCTTGTTTGTAGCTGTCTTCCTCTGCCTACTGCACAAGGAAATCTTTGAGAAGTGTGTGGCCGTGGCCCCTGAGGGGGAAGGAGTAAGTAAATATGGGTTTTTGTGATGCCAATGCGTGGTAGGAACAATCTAGGAGCCGTAGAGACCCTCGGTGTAGGGTCCACAAAGAAGTAATGCCAACCCCCCCAGGAGAAGCTGATGGTGCCGGAGAAGCAGATTCTTCCCACCCGGGCTACTGCTGGCCCTGGAGACAGGTGAAACAGTCTGGTTCATGCCCATCACAAATCTGGCCCCAAATCCAAAATTCCAACGCTTCAGGAGCAAATGAGAAAATATTTTTTAATGTGGGAATATGTTGAGCAAAATGGTCTTTCTGACTCCATCAGACTTCTTTGCTGCCTCCTGTATGGTATCATTATGTCCAGTAGGGTAGGCCACTATCCTTTCCATCTTTGCCATTTGCCACAGCCCCCACAGCACATGCAGAAAGTGTTTCTCTGCCCCCGTGCTGACCTCCTTCCCTCCACATGCCCCCTGCTTTCCCAGGGCAGGCACCCAGGATTTGAACACTTTTCCCAGCCTGAGGAAAGGCCATCCAAGAGATTCACCCTTGGATTGGACCATTCTTGCTCTTGATGCTCCTCTCCTGGAAGGGGTGAGCTGGGACGGGGAGGCCTAGCCCAGGTCCATCCTCCCCCTCCCCCACCAGTCCACCCTCCTGAGCAGAGCTTCACTCCAAGTCTGCCCTTCAGCAACCATGCCCTTGGCCACGGGTCTCATCGGCCCCCAGCTTTGATTTCCCAAACAATAACTTGTGTCAGAGAAGGTTCTGGATTGAACCTGCAGTCTCGTCCACAGCCCCTGGGAGAAAGCACTAAAACTCAGGAGCTGCAGTCACCAGAAATATTCCCACTTCCTTTTTTCCCCTGCAGCCCAACCATAAACTCAGGGCCCACACCATCAACATAAACTTCCAGGCCCTCCTGGCAGCTGGTGGCAGAGGTGGCTAGCAGGGCCCATTCCCAACAGCCTGAGGGAGACCATTTCTGAACATATCCGATTATATGACTCACCACAGCCCAACTCCTTGATGCCAGCATCACATAGATCACCATTTCCCTCTGCACAAAACCACCCGAGTTGAAATTCCTCTTGAGTTTTTACAGCCTCGAATATCTCTAAGGGAACGAAAGAGAGCAGGCCTGAACCCGGGAAGCCTGTGGCTCGGAGCGCACAAGACCCCTCCCACTGAACTGACCTTCTCACCTGTAAGCAAGGAGAGGTAGGCAGGCAGGCCAGAGGTTATGAATGTAAGTGTTGGATTCGGAGAGATTTGGGCAGGAATCCTGGGTTTACCTTTGCCTGTGCTGTCTGGAGCGAGTTGAATGTCTGTCTTTTCTCCCGTAAAAATGGGGTTAATAACACACCTCTGGGGTTATCGGGAGGCTCCACTGAGATTGTCTTTGCCAAGATCCCCGGCAGTCACATGGTACACACTCTGTAAATGACTCCAACAAGCAGTCCCTAACCTAATCAGCAGCTGTCGGGGCCAGTTTGCAAACCCACCCCTTGCTCTGTCCACACATCTGGGAAACAGCCCATGGAAACCCATCAGGCTCAAGAGGTACTGTGAGATCTCTGTACCCAGCTGGGACAGCCATCCTCTCCCCCACCCACAGGACACTCAGACACTCAGCAGCTCCCAGCCCCGCCCCCGCACCACCCCCTACCTGAGGGCTGAAAACAATCAAGTCCTGAGCAAACACTCGAGAAAGCCTTTCTCCGGGGGGTTTGGGGGGAGAAGACTTGCCAAGTGGGGAAGTCGGGGGCCTGGCTCCTCGGTGGCTCCTCTCCCCCTCCGGGGGCTCCTCCGCCCCCCTTTTCCTCATTCTCAGGCTTCCCCTCTCCAGGTTGCTCGGGCAGCCGCATCGGAGGTCCAGGGCGATGTTCTCAGGGAGATTTGCGAGCACATCAAGGGAACGTCAACGGAGACGCACACCGTCTGCAAGAAGTTGACAGAAACTTACTGCCCGCCCGGTGCTGCCTGGTTATTTACTCTGACTCAGTCGCGTAAATAATTTACACCCTCCCTCCCGTGTTTCAACAGGACAATGGTAGCAACACAATCCTGGCACAAGAAATATAATTACGGTTGTGACAGATGTTTAGTTATTAATAAGACCTCCATGTCACCAGAGGGTATTACACAACAAACCAATAAGTGCCTTTGGAAGCAACCTCTGGAATATGTACAGGTACTTTTCCGTTCACACCCCCGGGGGCTCTGCCGGAGTACCCAGCTATAGCGGCCAACGGGATTGCAACTTGCAAGAGAGCTCAGCGCCTTGCCAGCATAATTTGCTGCCTGGCTGTTGACCTCAGCAGAGCCACAGAAACAAAGTGGGGGCCAGAGTTAGAAATGGCCGTCTCAGGGAGAGGACCCTTGCCAAGCCTCCTAGCTCGTGTCGCCGCTAGACATCCCAGGGCAATGGTCACCCCGTCTTCCACAGACAAAACTGAGAGCATCCAAGACTAGTTCTCCTTCACCAGCTTCCGCAGAGCCCGCTGGGTTCCCTTAACCCCTTAACATCACCATCTCTCTTTCTCTTTCTGACGTCTGGTTAACCCCTTCTTGTCCTTTGTGACGGGCTTGGGTTAAGGTACGCCTCATCTGTGCCCACTTCTGCTGTTGCTCATAGCCTCTGCCCCACTTTCCGGCAGCACCGCCTTGAGAGAAGCTCCAGGCAGGGAGTAATTCACATGCACACTGTGTCATGTGGGCCCAGGCGGGGACAACCTTAAAATAACTGGTGTGCGATAAGTGCTTATTGAGCTAACACTTAATCAATACTGGTCCTCTTTGGTTCCATACTGGAGTTCAAAGGAAAGGAAAATAAAACAGAGTCTCAAGAGATGCAAAGGACAGAGAGTTCAGCTGCAAGGGTCTTGGCGATGAACCAAAATGAGCCCCGGTCACCCTGCACCAAGTCCTTGTCTGAGAAAGCTGGCCCCCGGGGGTGTCGGCACATTGCAGTCAGCAGTCGCCTCTCCTGGGAACAGGCAGATGGGTCACCAGTCCTCACTCTGGGCCCCTGCTCACCGCCTCCTGGCGAAAGGCTCCCAGCTCTACTTCCAGCCTTCTGATTCTGATGAGATGTCTATTTCCACATCTGGGAAGCACTGCCCTGCAGAAGTCCGCTCACAGGGGATAAGGCTCAGGAAATGCTTCCAGGGAACCAAAGCCTTGGGGCACCTGGGTGGCTCAGTCGGTTAAGTATCTAACTTCGGCCCAGGTCATGATCTCGCGATTTAGGAGTTCGAGCCCCACATTGGGCTCTGGGCTGACAGCTCAGAGCCTGGAGCCTGCTTCAGATTCTGGCTGTCTGTCTCTCTGTCTCTCTCTCTGCCCCTCCCACACTCACACATTGTCTCTCTCTCTCTCAAAAATAAATAAACATTAAAAAATATTTTAGGAAATCTAAAGCCTTAAAGAGGTGTGAGTGCATGTTATCAGCATTATAAACTCTGGTTGTAAATCCGTATGCATGGTGGGCATGGAATGTCAGCCCCATCCCAGCTCTGATGAGACGGGCTCAGCCCTGTGCATAATGTGCACCAGTCTAGAAGGAGTGAATGGCAGACATACAGACTGTGTGCTTGTAACTTAACACCTAACCAGAAACCCTCATCACCTAGGTCAGGGCCGGGCCAGGTGATGTCTGGGTGCTCCTGATCTAAAAGATCTTTGGTTCTCTGAGGGCCATGGCACAGACTTGGACTCTCCCCACCCCAAAAAAAACAGGGGTTCTATTTCCTGTGATTGGGCTGAAAATTTCCAAAGGTTGGGGCCACAAGGACACCCCCTAAAGAGCAAGCTCCCCAAAGGCACAAGCCTTATCTCACCAAACAGAACAGGTAAGACACATCCATGCAAACTTACTTGTCTCTAGGCACACATGTACACACACACACACACACACACACTCACAGATGGGTCTTCAAACACTCACAGCCTATGTGTGACTTACACTCACATCCAGCCCCGACCCTCAGACATACAGCCACACAGCTGCACACACTGTCCCCATCAACCCAAGCATCCTCACACAGGTATGCACACAACCCATGTCCACATGCACTGTGACACCTGCTTACCCACACGGGCTGTGCACACATCTGCACTCTTGTCGTCATCTCTCATTACCATGTTAAGTTAAAAAGGAAAAACAAGTTTCCTGTGTCATTATAGTAGAAATACCAAACAGAAAAAGAGTCTCATTTTATTTTCAGATAGGCTTTTAGTTGCCATGACAGGCTTAGCACCATGAAAGTTGTGATGGGTAGGGCATCTGGGTGGCTCAGTTGGTTGAGCATCTGACTGGCTCAGGTCATGATCTCACAGTTAGTTCCATGGGTTTGAGCCCCACATCGGGCTCTGGGCTGACAGCTTAGAGCCTGGAGCCTGCTTCGGATTCTGTGTCTCCCTCTCTCTCTGCCCCTCCTCTGCTCATGCTCTGTCTCTCGAAAAATGAATAAACATTTAAAAAAAAATTTTTTTTTAAGTTGTGATTGGTGGCAAACATGAATTTCAAAAGAGAGTACTTAGGTCCCCATATACAAGAACCTCTGAATATGTTTGTTGAGTCCCCTCCTTCATCATTCCCCTCCAGGCAGAGTAGACACCATGGTGGGGGCACCCCCCCCCAACCAGTGTTGGTCTGGCTGCCAAGACGGCACTGGGGCCTGCCAGGAGCTCTCCGCTAAGGATGTCCAAGCTGATGGTCACAAGGGCATTAGAACCCAATCCACTTAATTACTTGGAACTTGCTCCTAGCTCACCAGGAGCATGCCACTGGGGCTGCTGCTTCCCCCTAAGGAACGACTGCACCTGCTCAGCTGGCCTCTGGCACCCTTCCCAGCGGCACTCGTGATGTTTCAGGGAAACACAAAGCCAGGGGCTGGTCCCTTGGCCAAAAGGGAACTTGGCTCTTCCAGCTGGAATTCATCTCCCCAGAATGCTCCTCCCCAGGTCAAGGCTGGCCTGACACACAATGGGGGCTACCAAGGAGCCCTCCACAGGCTGGGACTGATGGCCCAAGGCCATCTAATGAGGTACACCAAGTCAGCATGTGGATAGAAGATGGACCTGCATCTTGCCGTTTCACTAGGCGCTTCTTGAAGACAAGAGCCATGGTACACATACCTGCCAAGTCCCCTTATGTACCTTGAGATCCATAGCAAATACCTGCTGAAAATAACTCTTTGTCCCCAAATTAACTGTTTACTTCATTTCCTCATGAGAATCCTAAGGGCAATTAATTTCTAGAATTTCTCCTTCACGCCCATTTGCCAGTTGTCTTCATTATCATCTGAAAGGTCAGCCAGGAGCTGGTTTCTGAGCCCAAGTTTTGAAGTTAGAGCTTTGGGCTAATTCCTAGACCCACATTAGTGTTCTCTTTAGCTTTTCATTTTGACAAATGACCCAGCTCCTTTCTTTAACATCTAAAATGTTCCTTGAGCACTGACCATCCACTGCGAGGCACCCCGGGCCACTCAACATGTTCCATCTGCTTCATCTCTTTTACCAACCCATAATACACAGAGATTGGGGGTGGTGATGTGTTTCAGAGCATGGATAATTGAATCAGACTATGCAGTTCAAATCCCGACTTTGCCAGTTAGGACGAGTTACTTAACTTCTCTGTGCAGCTCCCTCATCTGCAAATGGGTCTTATAATAATGGCACCTACATTTTAGGATCATTGTAAAGTCCTTGGCACAGAGTAAGTACTACATATGCTAGCTATCATCATTAATTCCTTTCTTCTGCACCTAACAGGCAGTGGCTGGACACCCACTCCATTCAGCTGGGCGCTGGGCTGACCCTATAGGAGGATAGGGACTGGGGTGGCACAGAAGTGACATCAGACACAGCCCCACAGAACCCAGAATCAAGATGGGGACACAGACACAAAACATAGCCCAAGAAGGAGGCTGCTCTTGCTTCCTCAGTTCAAAGAGTCAGTTCGTCCTAAGGAGTGTCCGAGAGGGGAGGTTTCGATTCTTGCCTTCAGTCCCACCATTTAAGAACACGATGGATCCCTGCCGGCCTCTGAGGAGGGGAGAGGTAGGGACGCAGTCTTCACAAACTGGCCAACCTCATCATTCCAGCATCCATGTCTCTGAGCAGCCACTGGGTACACGGGTCACAGGCAAACTCAGTCTCTGATGGATTTTTGCCCATTTTAGAGTGTCTAAAAGTACAATCACTGTGGGAGCAAGGTGTGGCTGAAAATCTAACGTTTACAGCTAGATAAAAAAATGCACAAGCTTGCATTTTTTTGGCATAAATAACTCAGAAATATGAGGTGGGTGAACCCCAAGTACTGCCCAGGCTGATTATTCAGACTAAGACCCACTTCAAGTGTTCACCAAGAATGCTCCCACCATTCTGACCACTTTGGGCATCAGGTTAGAGTCCTTTGTGTCTTGTAGCCCCTGCTACATTTTACAGTCGGTGATAGACACTTTATCATCACACTGTATCCTCTGTAATGCTTAACAAGAGTTTTGCAGGTCCATCTTTTCTCTCAAAATCCTCCACATGTGGGTGATCAAATCGATCCACAAATAAAATTTATTTTTGTTATAATGGAATAGAATTCTAATTCTTTGTTCATCACTTCTTTCACTTACTACTTTTTAGCATGTTTCAAGTATATATTTTAGCATATTTCACATATTACACATTAGCATTAATTATAGTCATCTTGCTGGACCTTAGGTCTTCAGAACAGACTCATCTTGACTACACTTTTGTAAGCTCTGACCGATGTCTCCCCTTTTCCCCCACCTCCAGCCCCTGGAAACCACCATTCTATTATCTGTTACTTTTTTTTTTTTTTAGATTCCACATATAAGGGAAGTGG